ATAAGCTATTTTCCTTCTAGAGGAGGGTAGTCGTCTAGAATGAATGGAGTGAAATTCGGTTCTTGTCTCTAAGGTCATTGTATTAAAAACGTGTTACTGAGTCTACAGTCAACACTACTCATTGGTAATATAAAAATTAAAAATACATTTTTAGTATTCTGGGTAAGAAGCAAGTTCTGAGACATTCTTTCTGTTCTTCCTTAGTGAATTTTATTTTCAGTGTTTATTTGGGGGTCTTAAATGTTTCATGAGGTTAAATATGAATTTATATTCCAGAAGTTTCTTGATCTATAATTTAGTCTTTATTTATGGTATTTCTTTTCGCACATAAAAAAAGTATGGGCAGATACTATATTTTGTGATGAATAATGTAGATTATAGTTGTTGTGAACCTTCCTTTTCATCAAGTAGTGTATCAGAAAATAAATTGTGAATGTGTGAAATTGTGATACCCTCGTCTCGCATTGCCAATTACATGAACCCATCGTCTCTAAGGGCACTATACATTCTTGTAACATAAACTTTCTAAATTTGATAAAAATATAACATTTACAATGGTTAACTACCTTTCCAATTTCGTTAAAGAGAAAAATCTGACCTAGACACTGTGCAAAAATCCTAATAATAACACAAAATAAACTCTAAAATAAATACACAAAAAGAACCCTGAACTACAACTAACAAGTTCTATTTAGAAAGAGGAAAGGTACAATCTAGCCTAAACAAATGAAAATGACTGAAACTAACACATGGACTGATGGAACTCAGTTCCACACAGGATGGGGTAGAGAAGTTATTTAATGAGATGTTCTCTTCGCTGGCGCTCTCCTGACGGGGGAGGAGGAGCGTTGGTGGCCCTTATTCTGGTGCGCGCAACCGGTTGGTGCTCGGCGACGCCAGGTGCACTCTCGGGTGCGTGCAGTAGCCAGCCGCGCTGCCCGAAAATCGCTTCTGCGACGACTTCTGCCTTAGGGCGCGAGCTGATGGAACGAGGCAGCCTCCTTCAGCGCAGCGCTTAACTACCCGCGCACCATTCCCCAAGCACTCCGACTACGAGCGGGAGCGTTTTTTACGTTTGAAAACCTGTGACTCGGATGCCTTCTTCCAGGAAGTTTTGCCTGGATGAATGAGTCATTCTTCACGCTGCGCATGTAAAAGTCCTTCTGTCATCTGCCGTTCGCAACACCTACTCAGTGTCAGAGCTTTCCCAACCTATCCAAGCAATGTATTTGCCTGTCAGTGGAGACACCCAATTGTAAGTATTAACAGTACAAGAAACAGTACTCTTCGGTTGTGATGTAATATGAGGTTAGTGATCCTCTGCGGTCAGTGATTTCTTCGCGGTTGTGTAAACCGTTCGTTTGTTGGGTCTATAACGGTTAGCGTATCGGGTGAAATTACAATCAAAGCCGTGGATTTTTAAAAACCGAAAAAATCCTTCGTACGTCTTCCTTCAGAGGATAAATAAAGCTGGCTGTCCCATGTTGTAGATTTACTCTACGTAAACAATCCTCAAGCCTCAAACAAATCTCTGGGCTAAATTTAAAATCGCATGTTTCGTCCCCAGAGTTATACATCCTTTCTACGCTAGTTGGTGAAAGAAGCTTTTCGAAATTTTCATGGTCAGGTGGAAGAAACCTCATGGCCTGAGTCTTGCTATGTAAAATAAGGCATCATTGACATTTTGATTAAATTTGAATTAAACCGATGTGTTTGTAATTCAAAAGCGATCATCCCGTGATCGCTGTTTCAGTCATCACATTTTTTGACGATACGTGGTATGGTTTGCTTTCATCATTTATCATTGTTATCGCGAACACTGTTTGATACCTACTAACACATAGAAGTGGCTCTACAGAGCAAATTTTGTTAATTATTAATTATTTTTAGTGATAATGGAGAGGTCAATTAATAAACGATAATAAATGTAAACAGTAGTTCGTTGAGAAATATTTTGCATGTAGCACAGAAATCATGGAATCATATCATTTTAAAACAATGAGTTTTTAACATGTGTAGCACGAAAATATTTCGACAGTTCACCATCTATGATCTGAATTTAACCAATTGGTCCTATAAAAATGGATAAAGCCTGGGTAAAGCGAGTCGCAGCTAAGATCGTTTCGCGTGGGTAAGTAAGGGTAGAGTGCGTGTGTGAGTGTACGTGTGCGCATGTGGCGGCTCATCGAATTCGCACAGTGGTGGGTTCGGGCGCTCTCGTCGACCGTCGTTAGCTCCGCCCCCTCCTCTCGTCTGCCGCTCCCGCCCCCCGTGCGGTGGCCGGCGCCGCCGCCGCCATCAGTTGGTGTTCTGAAGCACGCGGTCCCTGACCCGCCAGCGCTGTGCCGGCATCGAACCGAGAGCGTCGCGAGCGCGGGGCCGGCGCGAGGGGTGCTTCGACTGCGGCCGCGTCCGGCCACGGGCCGTTTGCGCGCTCCCGGTGACGTCACGGTGCTGACGTGCGCGTTGCTCCTCGTGTAAAATCGCTTCCGATGTAATTGGTGAGTACGATTAATGGAGTGGACATGTGATACATAGCTGTTCGGTGAGTGGGTAACGTCCCAAGAAAATGAGGCTGATATCTGGTGGAGAATGATAGTATATAGTTGGAAGGACATGAGAATTAAATTGCTTGGCCTCTTATACTCAAGAGACGAATGTGCATTTTATCTTCTTTTGCTTGATTACAGATTAATGAAAGTTACTGGTATAAAATATGCAAATGAAGGACTTGCAATAAGAAAATCTTAAGCCACATTTTGGGAAAATTGCGATTTTACGACCTTCAACGCACTCGTTTGTGTCTCTGTAAGAAGTTCATTTTTTTTATAATAAACAGTGTAATAAAGAAAAGTTGGTTGTAGATTTATTATAGTTTTAAGTGGGAAAATATGACATATTGCCTTTTAACTCAGTTTCACTCTGAAGAGGACCATTTGCCCCTGGGCCCTGTGATTTTTGTGTAACATTATATTCCTTGTTCCGGAGAAGTGACTAATAAACTACAGGGTTTATAACTTTTTTATTTAACTTATTTTTTACCTAACTCAAATATTATAATATACTACTTAATATTCTATGATTGAAAATGTAGAAAAATGTAAGCTTCTAAACTCTTAATAAATGTCATTAATAATTTGAGTGAATTACGATCACCTTTCAACCTAGTCAACCTTTAGTGTTTGTGCCTATGCCACTTTGACTGCTTTTAGTTAATTGCACTAATGCTTATGAAACATGTTTAGAATTTTTTGTATATATCGATAACGTGCTTCAGATTATTCTTTTGCAGCATATTACTTTCGCCTGCATTTTTATAAATGCGAATTTTAAGTGTATGTTACAAAGATGCAAATATCGAATTTTCTTTAACTGAGAATAGCGCTATCTCTAGGATACATCTTTGTGTTGTGTCAGTCATCGACTACCCCAAGATCGGAATATAAATAGGAACATGTCCTCAGCTGACACGAGCTTCGCCCGAACGAGTCGGAAACCTTAGAATTTTCAGCATGACCTGCTTACACCGTTCCTTTTCTGCTTCGGAGTTCGCATGCATTAGGAACTGGAGCAACGCCTAGTAACTCGCTTCAGGAGACGCAGCTTAACCCATTTGTTTGTTCATATGCGTTATCACACGGAGGTGTCACTGTGTATACGAAATTATCCTTCGCGATTATTATTATTATTATTATTATTATTATTATTATTATTATTATTATTATTGTTGAAAAAGTAATGATGACTCCGATATCGTCTTAAATATATTGTGATATTCAAGCGACACAACGCAAAATTTTTACCAACCGCATGGGTTTTGTGTGGATGTAAACTGTTAGAAATATAAATGATTAAATAAAACTTAATTAAATTAGTTAAATAATTTTTTTGAAAATATTTTGATATTATATAAGAAAAGCATGGTGTGTAATGTATCAGTACATTGTTCTACATCTACTACAACTGCAGCGAGCTCTAAAAGCGATAATATTAAGAAATCCTTTGTGGCCTCGTGATTTTATAGCCACTTTTTGGATGTTTCTTGACTAATACACTTTATGTATGTGTATAGTGTATTGAAGAATTATTCACTTCCTCTCCAAAATATTGAAAATACAAATGTTTGTATATTTTTGCTTGGCCATCACCTCGCACTGATAAGGACCCTCGCCTTTGCTACGAGCACATGTTTAAAATTTACTGTCCCAAAAGGAGTCTTGTACAAATATTTTTGAAAAAGTTTGTAAGTTGAACATTTGAACATGTGTTTTTAGAGAACGATGGAGGCAAATGCAGAGAAAGAGATAGTACCTTCAAGCAAAAGCTAATCTTATCTCAAATCATTTTTTAAAAAATTAGAATAATTATTATCGGTATAATGTTTTGAGAAATATGCAGATTACTGTATTAGAATAAAATTAATTACTACATTAGAACAAATGGAAAAATACTGTTTCTTATTTTGAAATAAAATATACACGAATAATATTCAATAATTCTTAAGCCGTTGTAATTATTTGTATAGGGGTTCTTGAGTTCGGTTAATGAAAGGAAATCAACACTTTACATTGTCGACGTTTCGATTATTTATTCGGCCTTCATCAGGGCTGTAGGGTTATTGACTACGTAAATCGAACTTTCTACGATTTCTTTACCTTATTGTCGCTACATCTCTTATTGTGAATGGTTAAGCTAAACTGTGTGTCTAAAATTCTGCACGTGCTGTGCACCAACTTCTGTTTTCGTGTGGCCGAAACGTCGGCAATGAAAAGTGTTTGTTTTCTTTTCACTGACCCAAACTCAAGAAATATTACACATATATGATACAGGAATGTTGAGCACGCTTTTGTTTTCGTGTATTGTACCCAAATGTGTCAACGTTTTTCTGAAACAATGTTTTCTTCGAATTGATTGTTGACCATACTGAGTTCCTGAAGGAACGCAAATGTTATGTGAAGTGACGTTTGTATGTGTGGTCCGCAGGCCGGAGCGGGCCCCAGGGATGCTGTGTGGGGAGCTGGGCAGTCGCGCGTCGCCCCTCAGCCTGCACCTGGCCTGCGTCACCGCAGACACCCGGTCGCCGTACCCCGCGCTGCTGGCGCTGTGCCGCGGAGCAGCCATGGCGCTCACGGCCGCCGGCCCGCCGCCCGACGACGAGGACATCTTCCTCGGTGAGTGGCGCCCGCGCCGGCCGCGCCCGCGCCCGCGCGCCCCCGCCCCCGCCCACGCCCACGCCCACGCCCACGCCCCCTCCCTTGCCCCCGCCCACGCCCACGCTCCTCCGCTCACCGGCACGCTCACACTCCGGTCCCACGCGCTCGTCCCTTGCTTTTGCCCCGCGTTCGAAAGCCCCAGACAGCAGGACCCTTTACACCAGCATTCTTAGCCGTGCGTCTGAGTGTCCTGTCCCACGCACTCGCCCCTTGCTTTTGCCCCGCGTTCGAAAGCCCCAGTCAGCAGGGCCCTTTACACCAGCATTCTTAGCCGTGCGTCTGAGCGAGACGTTCCTGACTACGAGCTAGCGTGGGTCACAGTAGTGTGGTTCCTGCCACGCTTTTGCGCGCCACTTGGCGAGCGCTCGAGAACGATTCTAGTTCATTATACTAGGATTTAATTAAACGTGCACTTGACGTAAATCAGCTGTTCATGGTTTCACCTAATCGGGAGCCTAAACGTCCCCATAGTGACGTCACTGATTGCTTCCGATTGGATGAAAGCGCAACAGCTGATTTACGTTAAGTGCACGACTAAATAAATCGCATTATAAAGATCCCATTGGTGTGGAATATTGGAGATATAATATTCCCAGTTGTGTGGAATATTGGAGATCGGACCGTCCCTCACGTCGCTTCCATGGTTCTCGCTGCTGTAAGAAAAAAATACCATACCATATTATTAAACCAATTGAAGGAAAATCAAAAATTCTATAGTATACTTCTGCCGCGGCATCACTTCTCTTTTTTCATCTTTCTCAATTCTTTGCGGAAAGCCTCAGAAAACGTTTTTTAGACTTAAAATAACCATGTAATTTTCCCAAAGGAGAATAATCCCCAAGGGGAAAATTCCTTTGTTCAAATTTATTAATTTCCCGTATTCCTCAGATTTTAATTTTTTTGTTCATTTACAGAGAACTCATTAATTTCCACGTGCTAGGACATTCTGTAATCGGAATAAACTTCATTACCAAATCCCGGCTCCAACAACGAGTATCCGAAACTTCAAATTGCCGCCTGGCTCGTCACTTGGCCTTCACAACCACGTCCAACAAGATTTCACGTGTAAATGCAACCCTTGCTCTTGCGCGCAACACTGTGGACCGCGTTCTTGCGCGCCGACTGAAACTGCCCTTAGACGTGCGTTCTGAAACGTGTACCTAGGTGGCTCGCTGCCCGGGGAGCGTTCTAGAACGATGGTGTAGAGCTGCCTATTGCTACGCGAGTTCGCTTCTGGCTTTGACTGCCATTCCAAGCTCATGCCTGGCCTCGCCTTCGCGCGTTCCTCTCGCTTAGGCGTCTCGCCCTTACCCCACTCCCACATTCAACCCTTACCTTCGGCCTTACTTCTCATGCCTTACTTCGGTTCTGACGTCACGTCTTACGCCGTCTGCCACCATGCCCCGTATGCAAACCACAGACCATACTCCTCAATCTTTACCACAGTACGCCCCCCATTTATGCTCTCCCGTAACTCAGCACCGGCACCTCACACTTTACTTGTCATGTCATACTAATCCATAGGATCCCGAGGCTTGCGTCTTCTATCCCAGTACAGCGATATTCATGCTCTCTCAAAGCCTCTCTTTCCGTGACTCCCATCAGACCCTACACTTTTGAATTCACCTTTTTCTCCAACTCATTAGGTCGTACATCCTCCGAACGTGTGAAAATCTTTGATCTCAGGCTTGTAATTAATATTTTCATGTTAAGCTTAAGGCGGCTCTACATATTCAAATTCAGCGAGTAGCGAGCGACCTCTGGCTTGATCGCGTGTACAATGGATGTGCTGCTTGCTTTTCGCTGAGCACCAAACATTCGGCGCTCGCCCTACTCCCTGTGTGTGTGTCGATCTTTAGGACACATCAGAGGAAGCGCACATTTGCCGAGAACGCACCACGGGTCCTCGGGATTTGGCGAGCTATTCGGCGAATGCCGACTGTGTGGGCCGCCTTTAAGGTTAACGAACTTCGCGAGAAGGTAAACCGTTTGGAGGTGACTAGGGATCCATTGTAGCCTCCCCTCCCTACCTGAGCGGTGACCATCCCTGC